GGCGCGGGAGATAACGCGCCCTGATGCCTCCCAGGTGCTGTTCATCGATGAGGTGCACATGCTGGACATCGAGAGCTTCTCCTTCCTCAACCGGGCGCTGGAGAGCGACATGGCGCCCGTCCTCATCATGGCCACCAACCGCGGCATCACCCGGTGAGCTGGCCTCGGGAAAGGCTGCTCCGGGCGGGGGTGGCCACAGGGCCCAAGGGCGTGCTCGTTGCACATCTTGGGGGGGTGTGGGCTTAGCTGCTGTAACAGGCTCCCCCCAGTACCGCGGCCCAGGCGAGAGGGTGGACTTTTCCCTTAAAGAAGGTAGGGGTGGCCTGGCCGGCGTGGCTCAGTGGTTGAGTGTCAACCTAGGAACCAGGAGGTCAGGGTTCGATTCCTGGTCAGAGCACATGCCCGGGTTGCGGGCTTGATCCCCAGTGTGCATTTCTATGAGGCAGCCAATCAATGATCCTTTCTCCCTCTCCCTTCCTCTCTGAAATGAATAAAAATATATTTAAATTTTAAAAAAACAAGGTAAATAAATAAAAAAAACAAGGGAGGTAGTGGTCAGGGTGGGTAGGCAGCTCTACTCCACCAGGAAGCCCCGGGACTGGATTTTCTGTTGTGTTGCTCCTGTATTCCTTCAGGCTGTAGTTTCCCAGTCTGTGTGCCAAGGCACCGCAGGGTACTGCATAAAACAGGAGTTCCGTGGGACGGCGTAGCTTTCTGAGGGATGCACGGTAGCGTGTGTTGGACACGGGATCAAGCACTACAGTGAGCTCACTCAGGCCCAACTACCTAATAAACGAAGTGGAACTGGGTGTTCCTATCGGCCTGAGGTATTGGGGGCTCCGGTGAAGCTTGGGAACCTCCGTCCTCGGGTGCTGCCAGCGCCCGGGCCCTGTTGTCCTCCCGACTGGCTCTCTTCACCTCGTCTATGGTTTGGCCCTGAGGAAGGGAGAAGGAAGTGGGGAGCAAACAGCCCCCCGGAGGCTGGAGCCCGGAGGCTGCACCGCTCAGGACGTGGCTGTGCCTGGTGGCACGGGCGGCGGCTGGCTCTCTTCACCTCGTCTATGGTTTGGCCCCGAGGAAGGGAGAAGGGAGTGGGGAGCAAACAGCCCCCCAGAGTCTGGAGCCCGGAGGCTGCACCGCTCAGGGCGTGGCTGTGCCTGGTGGCACGGGCGGCGGGGAGTGTCGCCGCCAGCTGCAGCCGTGTGCCAGCTGACCTGGCCAGCGGGTGGTTATCACACAGGGAAGGAAGGGGCAGGGCTACGGGCAGCGGCCATTCTTCCCTGGCTCTGCGCTGGCACTTTTCCCAGACGAACCGCTGGGAACCTCAAAAGAAGCTCAAGATGTAGATAATGTCTCAGTCCCACTTCCCAGATGAGGACAGCAAAGCCCGCTGGCTGCCCAGGGGGCAGGAGGACTGATCCGAGGGCTGAGGCCAGGAGAGGCAGCGAGGGCGGGTGTGGCGGGTGCAGCTCAGGGCGTGGACACGGCGCCCCAGCTGCTCCTGGGAGAGGCGAGCAGCGGGGATCCAGTCGCTCCTCGCTGTGGGCAGATTCGGGGTTCGCGAATCTGCTGCTGGAATGTATCTGTAACCCCCAGATCGGTACTCGTGACGCTTTCTCGGTCGCGATCTATTTAGTGCCACCCTTCGCACATTCGGTGCTTGTTGATGGTGGCTTTGCTGTTTAAAACGGCCTCCGGGTGTTCCGGAAGCAGGGGGCTGAGTCTCACAGAGGAAATGCATGTTAGGTGAACTTCATTACGGCCCAAGTTACAGTGCGTTAGCCATGAGTTCAATGGGAGGGCGTCCGTAATATATAGTAAGTTGTCTTCAGACAGAGCACATAGAGCCAGGCGATGTATTGGCTGGTTGGCAAATAGCGACCAGAGGCCCACAGGAACCGAACCGTGTGTCTCCCCAGGAGCCGGGGTTCGGTTTTGCTGATGGAGTGTTTGCCCCATTTTATAGAGCGTAGCTCTCACCAATAATGAGAACCTCCTGGCTTCCCTAGCGCCTGCCACGTGCAGCAGGGAACAGGGCCCGCGCGGTCCCTTCCCTGGGTCACGCAGGGGAGGGGACCTTGGTCCGGTAATCCGGGCAGCGCTGTCCAGCGGGGCTGACGCAGCCAGGCGCTGACGCCAGCTGGGGCTGAAGGTCACGTGGTATTTG